CCAACTTGTACTGCATATAACCAGTTCAGATGATCACTTCGCCATGTGTTACGAGCACATCATTTACTTATAGACGGGATTTTCAGAAGCAATCTGTGCTGACCTAACTGCTCCCTTTGAAGTCAATAGTCAGACTTCCATTGATTTCACTGAGAACAGAATTAGGTCAATGGTGAGCACTTTTGACTATCCCCTCCTATAATATAGGCAGGAACTGAGTTATCTGCTCGTCTTATGGCACTGTCTATGCAGTTGGCCTATTGGAAAATCTTACAGGTTACATTTCAAGTCACAATATTTCTACTGTACCCATTGTTCTTCCAAGTTTTGTTGTCTCCGTTACGACCAATTCTTCCTTCCTTGGGGTGGCTACTGCTGCTCTTCTTTTTATGTCTGAACATTCTATATTTGATCTCAAACGTTTGAAGTGGCATAGTACGTCTTCTGGGTAAAAATCGTTGTTAAAAGCAAATCTCTTTGGTATTTGTTTGAATATTTGACTATTTCGCCCCGGTTGATTTGTTGCTCGCCAGTCGCATTTCGGTGCAGTTTCTGATATCTGTGTACAGAACTGTCCCATATTTTCTTTGTCATGTTAGCCATTCTCATGTTTTGGATTTGTTTTTTTAAAAATTTGTTAGTTTTTCTTATCACATGCTCAGCCCTCGTTCCTGATTGTTTTTCCTTTTATGAATCTTCTAGGGCCTCTCTTTTGGCTTTCTGTATTCCATTATTTAATATAATTTTCTAACTATTCCCTGTCAGCTGAATGTCTTTCTTCTTCTTGCTGGGCTTTGATGCAAACTTGGGATACCATTTTTCTTTACTTTCTTCACACCTGGATTGCAGGACCCTCTGTCTACTCTGGGCTGAGATTGCAAATGCCTTTGGGGAGTTTGCCCAACCCAACTTCTCCTCTGGATGCAACAAAAGGCTGGTGTGTAATTTGCATCATTAGTGGGGTCCTACCAAATTCATGGTCCATTTTGGTCAATTTCATGGCCAAAGATTTTTAAAAATAGTTAATTTCATTATTTCAGCTATTTAAATCTGAAATTTCACAGTGTTGAAATTGTAGGGGTCCTGACCCAAAAAGGAGTTGTGAGGCAAGGGGGGTTGCGGTATTGCTACCCTTACTTCTGCGCAGCTGCTGGCGGTGTTGCCTTCAGAGCTGGGCACCTGGAGAGCGGCTGCTGGCTGGGAAGGCAGAACTGCCACCAGCAGCAGTGCAGAAGTAAGGATGGCCTGGTATGGCATTGCCACCCTTCTGTGCTGCTGCCTGCAGAGTGGGCCCTCAGTCAGCAGCCACCACTCTCCGGCCACCCAGTTCTGAAGGCAGCAACGCAGAAGTAAGGATGGCATGGTATGCATTGCATGGTAAGCCACCCTTGCTTCTGTGCTGCTGCTGGCGGGGCTCTGCCTTCAGAGCTGGGCACCTGGCCTCCGGCTGTGGAGGCAGCAGAGAAGTAAGGGTACCCCCCCCAACTCCTTTTTGGGTCAGGACCCCCAATTTGAGAAATGCTGGTCTCCCCCATGAAATCTGTATAGTATAGGGTAAAAGCGCACACAAGACCAGATTTCACGGTCTGTGGCGCGTTTTTCATGGCCGTGAATTTGGTAGGGCCCTAGTCATTAGTTAATAGA